ATTTATAGTTTGGGTCTCAGTGAAATATTCTAGGATCTCTGCGCAGAAGAACCCAGGTCTTTGCTTTACTTTCATGTTTTTGTTGTTTAGCGGGAAACTATTACATTTTGTCATAATCACAAATTTCTCCATTATCTCCTCTTCTGTGTTTTTCCTCCTTCTCTTTCTTCCCGCTAGCACACTGTGATGAAATGGGGCAAAAATCCGCAGCCTGGTGGGGCAAAAACCCGCGTGCATGTCTTTACCCCATGAATGCATGTCTTTACCCCATGAATGCACGTCTTTACCCCATGAATGCATGTCTTTATCCCATGAATGCAAGTCTTTACCCCATAAATGCACGTCTTTACCCCATAAATGTGCGTCATTGCCCACGAACAGATTAAAGAGACTGGTGTTGGAGTAGAAAAGCTGGGGCGATTCCAGGCTGTCTTTTCCAATGAACATGAAAAACAATGAGTAGAACATTGTAAAGCCTTAGCCCAGCAATTTTTTAGATTAACCAAGTCTCTCCGGTTTCTGTTGTATTCCTATGCAGAGAAAAATAACATACCTCATCCCTTTTCCACTGCAACAAAGCTGGCTGGAAACTATTTGACACATTCCTGCAGACTGCTCCAGGCAAGATACCCAAGCACGTTGCAGCAACTGGAAAAAAAAACTGTCACTGCTGAGCAAGGTAAAACAGCGACTGTAGTCTGTGCCATGAGTGCCACGGGACACTATGTGCCTCCTTATTTCATTTTTGCAAGAAAGAGACTAAACTTGCTTTTCTTAAAGGATGGACCAACTGGGTGTGACATGAGTGTCACTAACAAAGGCTACATGAACATTCCTACATTCTCAAAGTGGCTACAACACTAAGAAGTTGGCATCCCTCTCAAGATAGGCCACTTCTACTGATCCTCGACAATCATACCTGGTATAACAGCTTGGAGGCTATAAGCTACGCCAAATCGAACCACATCCATATGCTAAGCTTACCACCACACAGTCATAAGACGCAACCCCTCGACCGTAATTGTTTCAGACCACTGAAAGCGTATTATGACAATGCTGCTGATAACTAGACTTCTCCCCCAGGCCAAGTCATTAGCGAATATAACGTTGCAATGGTAGAAAATAAAGTTCAAAGATTTCTAACAACTGGTATTTTTCCTCTGGACCAGAACAAATTCACTGATGACGATTTCCTGCCTGCCGAGGTCACCGACCAGTACAAGAAAGAAAAAGATATGGGTGAAGATTAGGAAATATTTATTGCTCTTCAGTCTACAGAGGCTGCTACTACTACTGCTCTTGTCGAAGTTCCGGATAACATTGTGGGCCAAAGCCTTATTCTTGCCGACGATACTCTAGAAGAAGCCGATATAGAGGAGATAGCTCCACCCCATGACATCTTAGGACCATCTCATAGCAACACTGGAATGTCACCAAGTGACACTTGTCCTCTGCTAAAAATAAAAAAGAAACGTTCGGGAAAAGGTTTCAAATCGACCCTGTTAACGTCAAGTCCAAATTTGCAACGCATGGAAATATTGCAAGAGGAAAAAGACAGCGCAGAAAAGACAAAGGTTAAAAGGTCATTGCTTCTAGTTACCAAGGCAACGGCAATAAAAAGGAAGTTGTCCCCGGATAACATTTCATCAGACTCTGATTCAGACTTCTCTGCCCAGAACAACAGCTCTGACTTGCCCATCTTGTCATCGGGAGAAGAGGAGCTGGGTTGTGCTTTAGAACTGCAGCCTGGTGACTTTGCTGTCCTCAAGGTGCACGGAAAAAAAAAAAAAAAACTATAAGGTTGTACGTTGTTAAAGTTACTGATTGTGATGATGAGGGATACGATGGTATTTTCTACAAGAGAGCTCTCAGCTTTTCAAATGACCTCAGCGATTTTTCAATTTCCCGAATAAAGAATGATTTTACAATGATCCCCCCCCCCCCCCCCCCCCCAGTTTACTGCCATTAATTTTACAAATGGGGCAAAGACCCGCAACGTATAGATGCCCAGAAAATGCAATTATTTTGATTATTAATAAGAACACAGACATCAGTAGCCACACACGTAGCGGGTACGTGGCTAAACTACGTCCACATGAAGTTTCATAACATACTAACAGTTTTCCAGAAATGCGTGAAAACATGAAACTGCAGGTCTTTGCTCAGACCACAGCCGACTCTGTTTATAAATACAGAAGGGTGTGGCCCCGACCTACCCTAATTCTCTTAGTCTGACTCTGGGTTCTTCTTGTTCTATAACATCAGTTCTTTTTCTCTTGGTTGCTCTTCTGTCTTCCATCTCTTTATCAGATCTTCAGATGTTTGTTTTTATTTTTTATAGAATTAGTCTCATTACGTAATTATCGGACTTTGTATCCTTTTGACTTTCTTTTTAGAAATTCTCTTCATCATGGATGGATCATGGTGTTTGAAGATTTTCAAAATCCTTTATCTACTAAATTAGAATGATTGCATTCCAGATTTCTCTGCAATTTAGATGGAACCGAGCATCCATTAGCAACACTTCTATGGCAGTTTACGCAAAAGTTGCGGGTGTTAGAATAATTTTCTTTGTTCTGCATATATTGGACACTCTTGCAGCAAGTGTTTAGCCGTCATTTTACCCTTTCCACAGTTACAATCATCATTGTCTCCTATCTTTAGTTGATTGAACAAGTGCTGTTTCAGCTTATTGTGTTCTGTGTGGAGTCTAAAGATCACTACTTGTTCTCTTTGGAAAGGGAAGAGCTTCCGCCAAAAGGTTTGGATCAAGTTATACCTGGTCAAATGAAGATACTTTTGATGTTGATGTTTAAGAGGGCTTTCAGAATAGACAGAAGACGCTTGTGGCAGCACTTAATCTCAGGGTTGCTTACATTAGAGTCAGATATGATATTCTGATATCTGCGCTCATGGAAGAGGGTTTGTCCATGGCTGGTAAACTGGATAGCAGCTGTCCTGCATTCAAGTATGGTTGCCTTTCACCTAGGTACATGGACATCAGAACCATGTAATATCGCCCCAGGACTACCAGCCCCTGTTCAATGAATTAATATATCTGTTGGATGAGCTGAGTAAATTCATACATTTGTTGGCTAAGCCAATCTGAACTGGGCATCTGTTAACTAACGTAACTAAACTAATACATCTGTTGGCTAAACTAAATGAATTCATACATTTGTTGGCTAAGATAATCTGAACTGGGCATCTGTTAACAAACGTAAATAAACGAATACATCTGTTGGCTAAACTAAGTGAATTAATACATTTGCTAATTAAACCAGTCTGAACTTGGGCATCTGTTAACTAACATAACATCAAAAGAGAAAACAGAGGTACCCCGGTATCCTTTTTGATGGAAGCCTGTCCTTCAGGGATCATGTGGAGGCAGCTGTGGTGAAATGCCAAAAAGGACTCAATGCTCTCAAGATTAAGGCGGCAATGGACATGGAACAAAGAATGCTGTTCACAGTGTTCCAGCGTGTGATCCTGTCGATGATAGATTATGGAGGTGGAATGCTTTCCATATCAAAGCGAAAGCTGATAAAACTGGAACACATTCAGAATCAAGCCATACAGGTAAAGATACGCCAGTAGTAGGTATATGATATATACTTGCAATGCTGACTATTGCAGAAGAGGATGGTATTTCTGGGAAAATGAGGGAGGAAGGGGGGAAGGGAACTGAGTGAGTCTTTTTTTTCCCCCTACTGAAAAGGGGACAGTGAGTGAATAAAATAGTTTGGGTACCTATGGTGGAGACCCAAGTGGCAGGACTTCTTGCAGCAGTAGAAGAGATGCCTAGATCTCTCTAGGCAGCCCTCTCAGTAAGGTGCTAGGGGTCATCTGCTTCTAAAGGTGGGTGAAGATTAGGAACAAAATCCAGTCACATGGACAGCAAATGGTACACCAAGCAACAACAAAACAGACACAAAACAACCAGTTCTACAGCTGGGAATAGAAAATGTAAGAATAGTAAAAACTGCCTAAAACAAAAACAATTCCCAGACAGACCAAGTCACTTTATTACTGTCTTTTGAGATGACAAAATTCAATTCAATGAGCGGAAAAAGTCAGAATTGGTTATGCTGTATTCTCTGCCAGAAGCAACATTTCACATATTCAAGTGTTCCACTGAAGCACATCAGAGCTGATTCAACACTTCATTGCATTTCTCCTTGAAAACAAACGCTGAATGAAAATATACACATCCAAATAGAGCACTAAACAACAGGTACTGACAATGAATTTGTTTAAAGTTGACAACAATGTGACATGAACACAAATAAACCGCATACACCAGATGACGCAGCAAACAGATGAAGCTGTGTAACTGCTGTCCCCAAAGTGTATATGAAGAACTAAGATGCAACCTGCCACTATTTGTGATCCCTGCTTGACTGTGAATAAATAAGTCTGTTCAAATGGCGCTATTAAAAAAAAAAAAAAAAAAAAACTAGACTCAGAAAACTAAGTCTTTATGAGATGTAACAATCAATTTCAACAGATTATCAGCGACCAAGCCTGCATAGAACAATGCACTCTAATGGATATGAGAAGACTCAACAGCTGTTCAAAACAAATGAAAACGATTATATACCATACATATTTCAAAATACTTCATATACTTGATGTAAACACCACTGACTATATACAAGTTTATATTCTTGAACATATCTTATGAATGCAGGTGAAGGAGGACATATCTGACATAAATACAACACATGGATATCTGTAGCTGTATCCTATAAAGGGATGTTTATAGCTGTGTCTGATGTAAGAATATCTTTAGCCATGAACTCTGTAGGGAGATATTTAGCTATGTGATGTGAAGGGATATATGTAGGGATAAATTTAGGCCCTTACCAAGTAGGAATATCTTTAGCCATGTCATGTGAAGGGATATCTTTAGCCATGTCATATGTAGGGATATCTTTAGATAGGTACTCTGTAAGGATATCTTTAGCCAGGTACTTTGTAGGGATATCTTTAGCCAGGTACTATGTAGAGATATCTTTAGATAGGTACTCTGTAAGGATATCTTTAACCAGGTACTTTGTAAGGATATCTTTAGCCAGGTACTTTGTAAGGATATCTTTAGCCAGGTACTCTGTAAGGATATCTTTAGCCAGGTACTCTGTAAGGATATCTTTAGCCAGGTACTCTGTAAGGATATCTTTAGCCAGGTACTCTGTAAGGATATCTTTAGCCAGGCACTCTGTGAGGATATCTTTAGCCAGGTACTCTGTAAGGATATCTTTAGCCAGGTACTCTGTAGGGATATCTTTAGCCAGGTACTCTGTATGGATATCTTTAGCCACGTACTCTGCAGTGATCTCTTTAGCCACGTACTCTGCAGTGATATCTTTAGCCATGTCTCATGTAGGAATGAACTAATAAACAAATTTTATTTTCACAGTGTCACAAGTTGGGTATACAGATATTTCTTACATTAAGTACTTCTAAACACTCATTGTCCATCTTACATTATGTACTTCTGAACACTCTTTGTCCATCTTACATTATGTACTTTTAAACACTCATTGTCCATCTTACATTATGTACTTCTAAACACTCATTGTCCATCTTACATTATGTACTTCTAAACACTCATTGTCCATCTTACATTATGTACTTCTAAACACTCATTGTCCATCTTACATTATGTACTTCTAAACACTCATTGTCCATCTTACATTATGTACTTCTAAACACTCATTGTCCATCTTACATTATGTACTTCTAAACACTCATTGTCCATCTTACATTATGTACTTCTGAACACTCACTTTTTAGCCAGAAATTGTATTTGATCAATAAAGCCTGTTATGTTTATTTTAACATATGCATATTACAAATTTCAAAGAAAAAACACAAATGCAAGGGTAGTAAATGCATGCACACACGCCCACATTCATTCACACCCATACATTTACACATGACTGTATACATACTCCACACACACACACATTTACACATGACTGTATACATACTCCACACACACACACATTTACACATGACTGTATGCATACTCCACACACACACACATTTACACATGACTGTATGCATACTCCACACACACACACATTTACACATGACTGTATGCATACTCCACACACACACACATTTACACATGACTGTATGCATACTCCACACACACACACATTTACACATGACTGTATACATACTCCACACACACACATTTACACATGACTGTATACATACTCCACACACACACATTTACACATGACTGTATACATACTCCACACACACACACATTTACACATGACTGTATACATACTCCACACACACACACATTTACACATGACTGTATACATACTCCACACACACACACATTTACACATGACTGTATACATACTCCACACACACACACATTTACACATGACTGTATACATACTCCACACACACACACATTTACACATGACTGTATACATACTCCACACACACACACATTTACACATGACTGTATACATACTCCACACACACATACATTTACACATGACTGTATACATACTCCACACACACACACATTTACACATGACTGTATACATACTCCACACACACATACATTTACACATGACTGTATACATACTCCACACACACACATTTACACATGACTGTATACATACTCCACACACACACACATTTACACATGACTGTATACATACTCCACACACCCATACATTTACACATGACTGTATACATACTCCACACACACATACATTTACACATGACTGTATACATACTCCACACACACACATTTACACATGACTGTATACATACTCCACACACACACATTTACACATGACTGTATACATACTCCACACACACACACATTTACACATGACTGTATACATACTCCACACACACACACATTTACACATGACTGTATACATACTCCACACACACACATTTACACATGACTGTATATATACTCCACACACACACATTTACACATGACTGTATACATACTCCACACACACACATTTACACATGACTGTATACATACTCCACACACACACATTTACACATGACTGTATACATACTCCACACACACACATTTACACATGACTGTATGCATACTCCACACACACACATTTACACATGACTGTATACATACTCCACACACACACATTTACACATGACTGTATACATACTCCACACACACACACATTTACACATGACTGTATGCATACTCCACACACACACACATTTACACATGACTGTATGCATACTCCACACACACACACATTTACACATGACTGTATACATACTCCACACACACACACATTTACACATGACTGTATGCATACTCCACACACACACACATTTACACATGACTGTATGCATACTCCACACACACACACATTTACACATGACTGTATACATACTCCACACACACACACATTTACACATGACTGTATACATACTCCACACACACACATTTACACATGACTGTATACATACTCCACACACACACATTTACACATGACTGTATACATACTCCACACACACACACATTTACACATGACTGTATACATACTCCACACACACACATTTACACATGACTGTATACATACTCCACACACACACATTTACACATGACTGTATACATACTCCACACACACACACATTTACACATGACTGTATACATACTCCACACACACACACATTTACACATGACTGTATACATACTCCACACACACACACACATTTACACATGACTGTATACATACTCCACACACACACACATTTACACATGACTGTATACATACTCCACACACACACACATTTACACATGACTGTATACATACTCCACACACACACACATTTACACATGACTGTATACATACTCCACACACACACACATTTACACATGACTGTATACATACTCCACACACACACACATTTACACATGACTGTATACATACTCCACACACCCATACATTTACACATGACTGTATACATACTCCACACACACACACATTTACACATGACTGTATACATACTCCACACACACACACATTTACACATGACTGTATACATACTCCACACACACACACATTTACACATGACTGTATACATACTCCACACACACACACACATTTACACATGACTGTATACATACTCCACACACACACATTTACACATGACTGTATACATACTCCACACACACACACATTTACACATGACTGTATACATACTCCACACACACACACATTTACACATGACTGTATACATACTCCACACACACATTTACACATGACTGTATACATACTCCACACACACACATTTACACATGACTGTATACATACTCCACACACACACACATTTACACATGACTGTATACATACTCCACACACACACACATTTACACATGACTGTATACATACTCCACACACACACACATTTACACATGACTGTATACATACTCCACACACACACACATTTACACATGACTGTATACATACTCCACACACACACTTACTTACATACATACTGGAATAGATAGGGAGAAAAATGTACAGAGACAGAATGAATGAACAAACTCGATTTCTAAAGAAAATTACATTTAGCCACTCCAAGCATTCAGCTTTCATACTACAGTTGCATGTTCATATATGAAACTACAGTTGCATGTTCATATATGAAACTACAGTTGCATGTTCATATATGAAACTACAGTTGCATGTTCATATATGAAACTACAGTTGCATGTTCATATATGAAACTACAGTTGCATGTTCATATATGAAACTACAGTTGCATGTTCATATATGAAACTACAGTTGCATGTTCATATATGAAACTACAGTTGCATGTTCATATATGAAACTACAGTTGCATGTTCATATATGAAACTACAGTTGCATGTTCATATATGAAACTACAGTTGCATGTTCATATATGAAACCTCATTGTATCAAATGTCAATTAAAATATGAAGGCATGGATGACAAACATATACCTTCAAATATACATGCACAAATACTCACACATCACAGACACACACAAGCAGGCACACACATCACAGACAAACACAAGCAGGCACACACATCAATTTACACACCAAGAGGTGCACACATTGATCACACACACACAACATAAACAGGTAGACAAACAATCACAGATAGAACACATACACAAAACACATACAAACAGACACACATACAAACAGACACGAAATACACACAGACAACATATACTGAAACAACATACACAGATACAACATTCACAGGCATACATACTCTCATAGACACAACATATATTCACAGACACAACCATCAGATACAAACACAAAACATACACACAGACTCAAAACAAGCATTTCATTATAATCACAGTAAACATAAGACACAACACACAGAAATGATGCAACAAACAGAAACTCACACGCTCTCAGACACAACTTCAACAGGCACACACACATGCACAAAAACATACTCAGACAATACACACAAACAATAATACACAGATACAACATTCACACACATAACAGCACTGACACCAAGACCTCACACACACATAACAGCACTGACACCAAGACCTCACACTCACATACAGCACTGACACCAAGACCTCACACTCACATACAGCACTGACACCAAGACCTCACACACATACAGCACTGACACCAAGACTTCACACACATACAGCACTGACACCAAGACCTCACACACATACAGCACTGACACCAAGACCTCACACTCACATAACAGCACTGACACCAAGACCTCACACTCACATAACAGCACTGACACCAAGACCTCACACTCACATAACAGCACTGACACCAAGACCTCACACACACATACAGCACTGACACCAAGACCTCACACTCACATAACAACACTGACACCAAGACCTCACACACACATACAGCACTGACACCAAGACCTCACACACACATAACAGCACTGACACCAAGACCTCACACTCACATAACAGCACTGACACCAAGACCTCACACTCACATAACAGCACTGACACCAAGACCTCACACACACATACAGCACTGACACCAAGACCTCACACTCACATAACAACACTGACACCAAGACCTCACACACACATACACCACTGACACCAAGACCTCACACTCACATACAGCACTGACACCAAGACCTCACACTCACATAACAACACTGACACCAAGACCTCACACTCACATACAGCACTGACACCAAGACCTCACACACATAACAGCACTGACACCAAGACCTCACACACACATAACAGCACTGACACCAAGACCTCACACACATACAGCACTGACACCAAGACCTCACACACACATACAGCACTGACACCAAGACCTCACACACATAACAGCACTGACACCAAGACCTCACAC